CATTAATGCTGCAGCATTTTCCATGTATACTGTTTCAATCGATGGATTACCATTACATATTATTGAACTTGATCAAACACCTGTAGTGCCATATACAGTATCTTCCTTTATGATAAACGTTGCTCAGCGCGTTTCTTTCTACGTGAATTTGAAGGAATTTAATGCAAGTTATGTACCTCCTGATGTGCCACCGACAAAATCACTCTATATTCGATTTAAAGCTAATCCAAATATGTATCCAGTTGATATTAGTAGCTATATTGTTCCATATGCAACTCCACATCTTCCATATCCGATATTTTTTAATCCATTATACCTGGCTATTTTATCACTCAATTCAAGTAATTCCTTGCCTACATATCCAGTCAATTCAGCAATTTCAGGATCAAGTAATCCAGATTTAGCAGATCAACTAGATGCCAATATCTTGGATGCTCGACCATTCAATCAAGCAAGCAATATAGTTCCCAATGCAACGCATTATATAAATCTTGTCATCACATTTCACCCGGATTCCAATAACATCACTCGTGGATATTTTAACAATGTCACGTATGGTTCTGATGTGATTAATGTTAGCAATAAATCGGTGTCTAAGCACTGGATAACATCGGAAAAAATGACACCGTTACTCTATCAGATGGCAACAAACCCTAGTGCTCTTAGCATTTTATCTCCAATCATGGAAAACAATAGTTCATTACCAGTTTTGCAAAGTGACGGAAATTTGCACTACTTAGTTCCATATCAAGCCGTCGTCGACATACTTTTGGAGAACAAAGATAAGGGTGAACATCCATTTCATTTGCATGGTCATAGCTTTTGGATCATATCAAGTTCAGATAATCCTCAAGCCGAACAATTGTATAGTGGAGCATATATACAACGAGATGTGGTCAGCGTACCAGGTTCAGGCTGGGCCAAGATACGATTTTTAGCCAATAATCCAGGTGCTTGGCTCTTCCATTGTCATATTGAGTGGCACTTCGATGCAGGGCTCACACTAGTTTTTCTAGCTGGCCCTAACGAATTGGTAGCACAAGGCTACAAGATTCCAGCCCAGCAGAAGTGTTTTTCCAATCATACTAATGACTCGCCACGTTAAAGCGGATACAATCGATGATTGTATGAATTGTGCGTTTTATTCATTATCTTTGATCACTTTCTCAATCATTCTAATCAAGCTCATATACTTAATATCCTAACAATCTTTTTCTTGACTTTGTGTTGACCTTTAAAATTCCAAACTGAATATTACAAACATCAGAATCTTTCGAAGATGCTTTTCAAATTCTTGCTATGGTAATTTGAAAACTTTGGTTCTCATTGCTAGATCTTTTATTCTCGACTACTTTCATTAATAAAATGAACTAACTTGGCTTAGCCAAATTTAGTTGTTCAAAACACCTCCACAAGAGTTTGGGTCGGTGTGTTATAGCTACTACAATACCTGATATTTTGATGTTGCTGAAAGCTTACCAAGTGGCATAAGATATTAATATGAAAGATTCAGATTATAAAAATGAGGTAATGTGATTTGGTCTATATGTATGTTTATGATACATATGAATGTTTCTAGAAGATGAAAATATGTTTATAATGATCGAAAAGAAATAAAAGAGACGTAGTGGGCAATGAAATTTGTTTTGAATTGTCAATGCGTTGTCAAGTAACGTGGCTGTTTATTGATGGTCTTAAGAATAAAAGAAGATAATCTATTTTAAAAAAAAGAAGTAATTTGCGGTTGATACATACGTTGCTTGTGTTTGTTATTATCGGATAAAGTCAGAAGACGAATCGATAGTCGTTTATTTAAGAGAAGATCATGTGCGACCAGGGGGAGAGCATCACGTACAAAAATCTCATATCATGTTGCTGGCACTAGTGTGGTTGGCATAGGAATATTCGCTGATGACATGGTTAAATTCTTTTTCATATTTAGATATGACAGAGTTTTTCGAATTCGATGTATCTGAAAGATGTAATATTGTTTGTGAATGCTTTTTTCGTTGCCTTTTCAGTATTGTATGAAGTCCATCGTACTGTCGAGCTTGTCCCTGCAAGACTCATTAGCATGTGAGCTCGATATTTGTTGCTCTGCTTTAGGTTGAAATAGTTAATAAAGTTTTTGCTAATTTGCATGATAAAGTCCTCGGAAAAGTTATCGTTTTTGAATGATTCTTTTAATGAAACACCGTTCATAATAACAGATATATATGATTCGAACTGCTCGAAAATAAGTTTCTTTTAACCATTTCGAATTATCTTGTATAGGACGTCCAGTTACATCTGATAGTGGATATAATTTATCGTCTTCGTGGTTTGGTTGATTATAAACACTTGTTATAAGAGCACCATTATTATGACAGAATATAACATCCGTAAAATGTATGCCCTTTCCGATGCAAGTAATATCCTAAATATTGTGAAAGAATTATGTATTAGCTATGTCAAGTAATGTAAAAAGTTCATCTTTAGACATATTCTATGTAATAAATGTTTCATCTCGATATCTATATGGGTAGACTAATGTTGTCAATATTGTCTAAAGTGTGTAAAATAAGTTTTGTTTCTTGTCGAATAATATTCTTTTCTGCTATGTTCCAAGAGTAGATGAAGTTGATATTCACTGTATACATACTATATGCCTCGATTTACTCTACACTAGAGTTTCAGCTCTCAGCTTATTGTTGTAATGGAAAGACAAGTAATGTAAAATTTACAAAAAATTTGTGAATTAATTCTAGAAATCAGGATTGATCATATAGAATTATAGTTTTAGTATTTTCAAAATTTCTCCACTTTTGTCGACTTTCTCAACATATATATTTTAACTAAAAGATTAAGCGTGAAATTCTCTATGCATCCATAAATAACTTCGTTGGAAACTCGTTTTAAATATATGCCATAAAAAAGATAAAAATGAAAACCATTCAAATAGATGTCAACAATAATTATGCATGTGAAGATGAAACGATAAAAAGTTGATATGAAGTGTGCTGTAAAGGAGTCCATTTTACTGACTATTTGTTTCTATAAACGAATTGTGATTAATAAAATAACTTCACCTAAATCTCGAAACATTTTCGTCGTTCTATCATTACATGTCTATACTTATTTTTGGTATCTGTTTGAATGTTTTTCATTTTCATCGTTTTTGTGATATATGTTTAAAACGAGTTTCGAACCAAATTATTTATGGATTTATAGAGAATTTTACGCTGATTCTTTTGGTGGAAAATATGTATGCTGAGCAAGTGGATAAAAGAGGAGAAATTTTGAAAATACTATAACTATGATTATTTATGGTCAATCCTTATTTCTAGAATTAATTCACAATTTTTTTTTGAAAATTTTACTTTACTTGTATCTCCAAAAGAACAATAAGTAGAGTAGATCTAGACATCTAGTATTTATACAACAAATATGAATCTCTTCTACTCTTGAAACATAGTAGAAAAGAATATTGTTCGAGAAGATCACAACTTATTTTATACTCTTAATACGAGAGATTTTTTCGAAAACAAATGGAAAAGTATGTGCCAAAAAAATTCATTCTTATTGATGAAAGCATTGAGTAAATCTCGTTGCTATTAAAATAGATAGATATATAGTAATGAAGCAGTCAATCGAGAATCAAAAGTATCACCCTGAATCTGTTGATATGATTTGTTATTGTACATTAAAAATTCATTTTCGATAACAAGACGAACAACTTGAATAATAGTCTTTATAAAGTAATACCATGGATGAGATATATGATCTGATATGTAATTAGTAAAAAAGTGTTTCAATGTTTCGATTGTTTGTTAATGAAAAAAATGTTGTACATAGTTCATCAATATTAAATGTTTCAAACAAAGTTGTTAGATGAAGATAATCCCTTTATTAATACAATTGAATAGTATTAATGACGTCATCATTCTTAGAAAATAATGTACAATGAGTCGCCTCATCAAAGAGTGAACCAAGTAGACGATTTATTAGATAACATTCTATATTCATTGATGGCTCATCGTTGTAGATCATGATTGGTCGAATTGTAATTATTCCCTAATGTATATATTAATACAATGGAAACATTCAGATCATGAGAGTTAAAGAAAAAAAAACAGATTTTATGTGTTTCTGGGATGACATATACATAATTCAATCGTATCAATAATCAACTTATATTCATATTTACATATTATACTTCAGCGACAGATTTTGAATGAAATAAATCGTTTAATGTGACCTTTACTCAATCGACAATAGCAGCTAAACATTTTTGACTAACATTTTGATTTTCTGCATTGAATTCTTGAAGAAGTCAACAGACATCTGTTTGTAACAGGAAACCAGACAATTTTTATTCGAAATCATTCGCTAAACATACATCAAATTCGGAGTCGTCATAAGTATTTTCTAAAACCGAATTGTCATCAGTTAATTTACATAGCAATGAGAGAATTCTTTTTTTTTTTCAATAATCAATTGGAAAATGGGAATT